GCCCCGCGGGCGCCCCCTCCCCTGCCACCCCTGCTGTGGCAGCACCTGCCCTGCCAGCCCACAGTCTTGCCCCCAGGACCTCCCCCTCCCACCCCCGTAGCAGACCACTGCTCAGCCGCCGGGGTTCCTGACCCTGCCAGCTCTGCAGAGGCAGCCCGGGACAGGGCTCCCAGCCACAGGCCTCCCTGCAGCCAGCCTGGCTGGGTTCCTCCTGCTTCCATCCCTCTACTGCAGGGGTGGGCAATAATTTTTGAAGTAGCCCCGGGCCACCCCGGAAAGGACAGGGCCTCAGGTGAAAGGGGCAGAGCCAGGATACTTCTATGCTTCTGCAGCCACAGACCCTGATTGGTCTAGGGGTGGGGGAGTGTGCAAAGTCTTTGCCCACCCAGAGAGAACCACGTTGGCAGTTCCCTCTAGTTACCCACGCAGTGGGAGGAGACTTTGCATGCTGCCCCCAGGTCAATCAGGGCCTGGAGAGGGGGAGCACGTGAAGGAGTGAGAAGCCTCCTCCGCCCTCCCTGTGCGCAGCGCTTCAAAGCGCCACATGCTCCTGGCAGGGCTGGAGGAGGCTTTGCGGACTCCCCCGCCCCCGGACCAATTAGGCCTGGGGGCAGGAGAGCGCTTGAAGCCTTCTCCGCTCTGCCCCTACCCTGCGAGCTCTATGGGGGAGGCACGGTCGTCCTGTTCTGTATGAACAGCAGCTAGCATAGCGAGGCCTCCTACCTGCTCCTGCCAGACAGATAGCAACAAATGCCTGGCCAGATCCGGTTGCGCTGCATCTTGCCTTTCTTCTCTTAATGCATTTTGCAAATTGGCAAGTAATTCGCAGTGGGTCTTCCAGCCTCTGCTGTGAATTAGCAAAGAGTCATTGCCAGGGGAGAGGAACTGACCTGGGAAAAGATGAAAGTAGGTGTGAACTCCTGGGAAATGCCTGGCAAAAGGTCCCTAGGCTGCAGGGGAGGCATAAGGGGAAGGATCAAAGGTCAAGTGGCAAAGATGCCTCCACAAGGCTATTGCATTAGAGAGTGAAGAAAAAGGTGACAAAATAGTAAAGGCTGGAACCGGGAGTAGCTGGGATAAAATAGTATCTGACCTTTTAATCAGGATGTAAAAGAGTGAGGAGCAGAATAGCTACGTTATAGAGAGATCCTTGTTCGGGGGACACATTCCCGGGGCAGATCTCCTGCTGTCCTTCCTGGAAGGGTGTAAAGAGAGCAAATATGGCAATGACGCAGGGGAACAATAGGAACAATCAGCCCTTCTCACTGCTGGAACGTGGCTGCCGCAGACCTGTGGGATGCCAGCCTGTTCAGTTTTATAATCCCCGGAGGCGTGTCGCTATAGCTTTTAATCAGCTCTTTCTGGAAACCACATCACGGTAGCTACCTCCCGCTCTGTGATGAAGCTGTTAACAGATAAGTAATGGAAAGGCCTGGCCAGTCCTGTGAAACAGAGAGGAGCCTCCTGGCTCCTTTCATCCTGCAGCTGGGAAGATGGCGAGATTTGCCAAGGAGAGCAGCAGAGGGCTTCACTGTTAGGTGCCTGGGTAGAATCCTAATCCAGATTGATGGCTGTTGCCCGTGGCTACCTGATGGCTGTCTAGTGGCCTATGTGAAGTGAGTGGCTTGTCTCTGCTCAGTTCCCTAAGGGATTTTGAAGCGGCTGGCCCAGGCACCTGATGATGACATCATGGCCATTGACTGTTGTTCAGGCAGGGGCGCCGATTGCACCGCCCCGCCTAGGGCGCCAGCTGCTGCAGCCAGCCTTGGGCCGCTCTTGGTTGCCAGGTGTCTGGTTTTGATCCGGACAGTCTGGTATTTGAGCTTTCTGTTCAGGAAACAAATTGAGAAAATACCGGACATGTCCAGTATTTTCTAATTAAGTTTTATTATTATCATGAGTATCAGTACGTAGTTGCGTACTGCCTGGCTGGTAGACACTCTCACACTGTGTGAGCATGTGTACCAGCCAGGCAGTACACAACTACACAGTAGAAAGGAGTGGGGCAGGGCAGGGCTGGGGCGGGATTGAATCCCGGGGCTGGACTTGCCTGTGTGCCCCGCCGGGATGGTGCATGGGATGCCAGCCCTGCTCCCCGCCGGCTGGTTCCCACCCCCGCTCCCCTCCCTGGCCAGCCCCATTCCCCCCCACCAGTCCCACTCCCCCCAATCCTCTCCCGTCAACCCTGCTTCCCGC